CCGATGCAAGGGGGGCATTGGTCCACGTGGGGTGGTGATGCTTGCCCCCTGACATCTCCAGGCAAGGTCAGGCAGCACGGGGGTACCGCTCTGCCAGCATCCTTCCCATGGGAGTATAGGGGGTGAAGTGGGAGCTGTGCCCCGAGAAACCTGCAAGGGAGCCATAGTCCCCCCCTGCCCTGTGTGGGGTTGTGGAGGAGGTGACTCGCTGGTGGACCTGTTTGTGTGTGGGTGTGAGCAGGAACAGCCCCAAGGCACCCTCATCCTCCCTGAGCGCCTGCATGAATGTGCGTTTGGGGCCGGGGCAGCTGGCCTGAGGTCTTGGGCTTGGGGTCAGGTGGTGACAGTGACTTAGGAGAGCGACCTCAGTCCATTCTGAGCTTTGCTCTGTCTGCCCTGGTATGGGATCCTGGTTCAACAAACTAAATGTGACAGGGGGTCACCCTGGCTCTTCCTCCATTGATTTCTCAGGGTGACCCTGGCTGGCTCAGTGACTGAGGGACTGGGTACAAGACAGTATGTGATCACACTGACTTTCTTTTACTTAGATAGGGATTTTAGATTTTTATGCTCACTACTTTTTACTTTGATGACTTGGATTTTAGTTCTGTCTTTTCATTGCAGTTGTCAGTGATGATGCAGGTTTGCTTTCTAATTCAGGGCTTTGGAGCAAACAAATGGTTGTAATTCCTTTGATGAAGTATGCAATGGTGTGTCTAATTTAACCAGAGCAGAAACCACCAGCAAATCCTCCCTGCAATACATGACAAAGGACTTGTAACAGGGAATACTTAATTATAAAATGGCAATAAGTATTTTGTAGTGTATGTCAGAATTTCCACAAAGTATTTGGAGCTAAACCTCATTCTGCAGAAAGTGCGGTTCTGGTGGGTGTAATCTCCTAATCAGTTCGCTTATTCCGCTGGCAGTCTCACAGGTGTGCATATAAGTGTGTGGTTTAGTGACTTCTGGAATTGTATCCCATGGCATGATGCCGTTTCTACCACTTACCCTATGTGCTTATTGAGGTAAGTTAAACAGAAAGTAAAAGTCCTCACACTTATTACTGTCACTTACTGAGTGCCAATGTTGTTAAGTTTTTGAATGTTGCCTACCAGTATGTTTTCCCTCAAAATCTGGCTCTAGTTGATTCTTAAAATATGTTTTGAATAAAGAATGGGTTCTGAAGAAAAGCTACCAGAAGTGTCGATCTTTGCTCATCAGTGACATACCCTCATCTTACATCTCAGCTCCCGGAATCCTAAAGAAAATTTGGCTGTCAGTTTCCTGACAGACTGTAGTGTATGAGATGACTGCCCTACAGGTTTTCTTTCACCTACTGTCCTGTGGAAAGTTGCTGACAGTGTCAAAACTACAGTTTTTATGACAGAGAATCTTCCTGCTCAACTTTCCTGGAGAGCTGAGGAGTACGGAGTAAATGTTAAATGGAAGATACCAGGAGAATTAGGAAGGTAGGCATGCTCTTGTGCCCTGGAGTTGAAGTTGGGTTTTCAGTCCAGTCTTTGACAGAACCTGTAAGCACTTGCTTTCCAAATTTTCCATCTGTACTAGGTCATCCTAAACCATTAGTGGTTTGGGTGAAGATATTTCAAGTTTGCAAAATGAATACTGTAATTAACACTATAGTAGGAAATTGCAGCATGGAAATATTAATCTCTTAGGGTATTTAACTTTTTATAACTTAATTGGTTTTAAAGATTTTATTCTGATTTCAAACCCAGGTATCCAGAATAAGGCAGTGTCAGAACTATATAAACCATGTCTAAATCTGTATTTTCATTTTCTGAAGCTCTATACTTGATCTTTCAGGTAGGGAGATAATTTTGAGAATTTTTTGGTGAGTTTTAAAGCATTAAAGTGAATTTGTATTTAAGGACTCACATGCACTTAGTAAGCACTCTTGAACACAGTAATTTAAGGTGATGGTAACCTTAGTTTGGAACTGAGACATTATGTTTTTCCACACCTGAAACAAGAACCCTTATTTTCTCAGTATTCTGGCAAATACACTCTTGTTTTATGTCAGCAGAGATGATGACTAACTCTAAAAACATTTGAGTGAAATCCTGGGCTTACTGAAATCAAGACAAAACTCTGTGAATATCAGTCTTTGCCTCACAGTGTTAGTTACTGACTCATACACCACTTAGATTATGGTGGGGCTTCTTAGTGGTAAACTTTCCTAAGAACTGTGATAATCATTTTCTTTTAGCTTTACTGATTCAGGTTCACTAGTGTCTTTTTGGGGAATTAAGATGCTGATAAAATAGGATATTTTCTGTTAATGAAATGGTACTTAATATTTGTGATTTTCTTTATTCGAAACTGTGATCTCTAAAAATAGAAATTTATAGAAATTCAAATATAAGTTGCCATGGTAACCTCTTTGGGGATAGTGCACGCACAAGATTATTCTAGCAAGACCATCCAGTGATGTTATATAAATAGTGGAACTAGTTTGTTGACAAGAAGGTTTACTTTAGTTGAGATTCTAAAAAATTTCAACTTTTAGTGCATGCAATTTGATAGTCAGATAGTGACATCTACTAAACATGGGGCTTGTTAATATGAAATACAATCCATGTATATATGATTGCTTTGAAACCTGAAACACTTTCCTTTGTTTCCCAAGTTCAGGAGTTAGGTCTGATTGTTATTTCTGTCTTCATATTACCATTTTGGATTTCATAGACCGTGAAATGAAATTAAAGAGTGCAGCTGTACTCCTTTCGCTCCACGCATAATAGAACGATCATTCACAAAAGGCTGTTTGACACAATGCTGTAATGTAGATATGAAAATCTACTGGCAGAAGGTGCTGTCATAGGAGGAGGAGTGCTGGACGACTGAATGTTTGTGTGTTGGTTTAACCTCTCTGAAACAGACACCTAATTCTCATCTGGCTAAAACCTGTGCACTGGTTTGTTGGTTAATACCTGTAAGTGATTTTGGTGTTCAGTGGCTCTTAGGTGGTACTTGTTCGCTTTAGTAAAGTGCAAATATACATTTAAGTAGTTCGGAAGAAAACACAAGAGGCAATATTTAGTGTTGAGTTCAAAAAGTGTCTGCAGATGTTCAGCAAGAACTGGAATGCCAGTGCTCATCTCAGATATCATATTTCAAAGTAATTACCTCTAAAGCCTTTTTACTTTTGAATAGTAGTTGAAAAATGATGCTGTTTAAAGAAGTAATTAGTATTTGTCATTGATTTTCCCTAAAGATAATGGATTACTCTTGTACTGGGTGCAGGAATGCAAAAATGGCCCTGAAATTCACCAAGTCCATAGCTATATATCCTTAATGTTTTGGGAAGACTGTATATCTCTTCATGGATAAGGGGCAGCACCTGCCACATGGGGTAGTTAAGCAGTGCGGCAGTCAGCATGGCCCAGGGCACTTGAGCTGGCACTGCTGTTTGCAGCAGCTGAAGGCAGCTATGGTTTTTATCTCTAGGAAAGATCATCATTACTTGGTTTACAAGGAAATATAAATCCTAACTAGCAAGTATTTGTCAAGTTTGCTGTAAGTAAATATTCACTGCAATGCAAATAAATCCACAAAAGCCTTGCAGTCTAGGCATCAAGATATATCCTGTAAGTGTTCTTAAAAATACTGATGCTGCTTCATAGTGACATGGGGAGCTGTATTTGAGCAGTGGGTGGTATTTTTGGAGGGAAATAAAGTTCCCCTCTACTGCTTTGTATGATGTTAACTTGTCAGAGATTCCTTTCAGTGACCCATTGCATCTACGCCAGCTGTGGATATTTGGTGCAGTGAAGAATCAGCTGAAATGGGTGGGATGGGAGACGGGAAAAATATGATTTTATAGATTCCCTTGAGAGGCTAAAGATACAGAAATTATGTTGGAGAGCATTCTTATCAAAGATAACTTATGTCTTTATTTGGTGGCTTGCTTATGTTTTCTCCAGGTACCTAGATAGCTGTTTTGATACCTGTCAAGAAAGCCTTGATTTAGGAAGCCTGTCATGTACTACAGTGAATGACTGAAGTGAGTTATATTTTTAGGGCTTTGCCTGTTCTGATGCAAGACAGGTTTTAGTTTTGGTGGAAACAACACTGCTGCAGCAGTCTGAAATACTGTGAATGGAGTGGTGGACGTACATTAATCTCAGAATATGTTTGTAGATTAATAGTGAATAGCAAAGGTTAGCTTTCTTAACTGATAGGAAGCCCTTTAATACATAAATGGAAATCTTTACTCTGTCTCTTATTCAATAAGGAAAGCAGGTATACTTTAGATTTTACCATTCAATTATTATTTAGGCAGACATTTTGTGAAAATAGCACAAAGAAAATAGTTAAGGTTGATACTTCAAAGAGGGTATTCCTTTTTTTTTTTAATCAAAGCACTGGGTTTTTTTACAAGTGGGGAAAAAGTCAATTACATTAAATTATTGAGAAACAGTAATTCTGCTTGAAGCATTTATGCTATGGGAGCTCCCATTTATGCTATGGGAGCTGTCTTTTTTAAAGACACATCAAGATGGTTCCTACTGACAAAAGTCATAATGCATTACTGTTACAGATATTCATACACTCTGTAGCTTCATGCATATATGGGCTGCCTAAATCACATTGTAAGTAATTTTTATTAATTTGCTTCTGGCATGCTGGCTTTAAAAAGTCCTGATTGGAAATTCTAGCTTAATACATGATGTATAATCAACTAGCTTGATCTGCCCTAAGCGTAGATGGTTTCTGATGGTACTGACATCAGTGAGGTAAAATCAGCAAGATTTCTGCCTTCCTAACTTCTGCCTCTTCCTCTACAGCTGTTCTGCCTGATGCTGCTAGTGTTTCCATGGAAACAAGCCAGCTCTTCGCTTCCTCTTCCCATTGAAAACAACCTTCTCACTGTCACTTATTCATCTGGGAAAATGATTTTGTCATGGCTCTGACATAAATGACACAGAGATGATCTGTCCTATCATTTCAGAAATAGATGCTATTAGGTATGTGCATGTGCATACATCCAGATTGTCCTTCAGTGACTGTAAAATAATTTGGTTAATGGACTTAGGTTGAATTTGCTTTGGTGTAACTGGAAGTGGAAAACAGCTAATTAGACACAGCCCAATATAGTAACAGTGTGAGAAATATTTTAAATTGAGAAATCTGGCAGACAATGTTCTCTTTTTTATGTAGTTAATATAGAATGTAGTATTTGTCATGTTTGTTTACAGTGATAAAATTCTTAAATGGCTTACTTTGAGGATGATAATTTGTTCTCAAACTGATTAAGATGGTGGTGGGAGGAATAGCTCACAACTTGGGATGAATATTGTATAGGTTTCAGTGCTACTGTCAGATGAGGAATCACATTATCATGGACATCATGTGATGGAGTCAGAATACAAAATAAGTGATGCAAGAAAACTGGTACCTTCAAGGTTCTTTTCTTAAGGTGTTTGGTACTTAGTCCAAAGTAAATATATCAATCAATACCTTGTGAAGAAATCAGCATTTTTGCTTGATTTGGTGAATTTGTGTTAAGTCATAATCAAAAAAGTTCAGAACTCAGACAAATTCCATATCCTTCACTGTAGGGACTTTAATACACTATAAGGGAAATTTGTGTAAAATTTGCCTATCCTTCTCTGCTTAGTGATCATTGGCAGAACGTGATTGTTCTCTTCCTGTGAAGGTGCCTTGCAACAGGGGTAGAAGAATAAAAGGAAAGGCTCCCTCTATAAATTTTTAATGTTTTAATAATCTCTTATAAAAGTGGTGTCCAGTAGTTTTAAGATGGAAGAAACAATTTCTTCTCACGATCAAGAGCTGTTTCAGCACTGTTCATTTCTCCAGAGATGGTTCCTGCTTGTCGTGTGATTCAGATTTGTGGCTCATCTTAGGGAAGGAATGTTTCCTTCAGCCATTACTGGAAAGAGAGGGTTTATGCTCTCCGTATTTAGCACCCAATGGAGGTAGTGTGTTCCCTTTTATTTCTCTTTACTAAACTTTTCTTTACACCTCACTTCTGTCAGCATGGTTTATAAAAACTTACTGATTCAGTGTAAAAATGGTGGGGATTTCTGCAGGTTTTTTTTTGTTGTTTAATTGTGAGTAAATTAGACAAATAAAATATGGGTATAGTAATATTCAGAATATCAAGCTATCAGCTGTCAGTCTACTTAGTGTATTTCTTATACAGTTCCTTTACATACTCTTGTTCTTTCACAAGCACACATTTTCCTAGTATAAATCAGTAATTGCATAGGAATAAAATTTTTATTTTACAGAAATGCTAAGTAAGGCTATTCAGTTATTTTATATGGAGAGGAAATACGGGAACTACGTCCAGTCTTACTTGTGCTCTTACTTCCGAAGAGCCTTCTCCCTGACACAAGGGCTGAAACATGGGAATACTTCACACGTCAGAAATAACTTATTGAATGAAATATTCACCTGGGGTAATGTGCAAGGACACAGTAATATAAATATAGCTTGATGATATTTATCAACATGATAAAAGAGATTCAAGTTGTAGTGATGACTTGGTACATTTTTTTCTCTATAGTAGTATACACATATATATATTGATATAACTAAATGGTAGTTTTGTCAGATACTATAGAAATAGCCGTAGAGAATGAACATGAATCACATGTTTTTGGGGCTTTTTGTTTTGTTCTACTAATTTGTTTAATTAACATCTTTGTTGGTATTTTACGATGACTAAAGCAGTTTTGAAAGAAAAGCTCCACTTCCATCTGTTAATCGGAAGTGTTAAAAATAGAATGCCATCTAATCACATGAAATACAATGTCTTGTGATTTGTGATTTGCTTTACAGATTTCCTGGCTGAAGTGGTGGCTTGAAGCTTAAAAATCAAATCATCTAATTATGTATTACAGTAGTGTGTTGTTATTCTCCCTGGGGCTTTTAAGTTGAAACTTCTGAGGTGTTGCTGTGGTTTTGGTCTTTTTACCAGCAGGTTAATTATTTCAATAGTGTGACAATTCAGTTTTTTCTTGCTACAGACAGCCTTTTGTAGTTCTTAGTGTTTCTAGGTGAAACTTAGGTATTGGGTCTTTGATATACTCCAGCAAAAGGCTGCAAACAGAGAACAGTCTCTTAGCCCAATGCAGAATAGTGTGGTAGAGTTCATTAATATGCATGAAATACGACAGAATATGATCGAAGCTTGTTTCTGAAATAAGTATAATTTAAAATAAGTATAGTTTAAAGTGTTTGCATTTTCATTAGTGTATAGCATAGAGAATTGCATTTTTCCACTTTGCCTAGTCTTTATAAAATGGTAAGTATCCCTTGAAGATTGGCATTTGGCTTGGCTAATTTTTAGAGTACTAAAGATATAGTAGATATATAGCAGTAAACTTCTTTTTAACTGTTTAAATCTTACCCTAGGATAAATAATTCTTCTCTGGCAATGACTTTTACCCCACTAAAATGCTTGCTTTGATAAAAGCACAAAGCTATTCCAATATTAAGGACCTGATAGCACCTGGGATTTTAGAGCAACAGAAATAAAATGCTGAAACTCAGTTAATGGCAGAGAAAATTGCATTGGAGAGGACGAAATGTAGTGGAATTGAAAAGGGGGCTGCAGAACATTGCTGTGAAGTGCTGGGTACATGTTGTTGCCATAATGCAGAGCACAGGCTGAGTCCCTGACAATTTTGCAAGGGGACTGTGTTGATGCCTGCTGCAGCCCCAGGCAAGAGTTTGACCATCCCAAAAAGCACCCTGCTGCTGGTGGGCACTCTTAAGGGGTGGGGGGAATAACAATGTCTTCTAGTCACATTCCTGTTGGACTAAGTAATTTCTCAGATTGTGGACATTCACAAAATATATTAGGCTTTTGTATGCTCTGAACTATAAGATTTGGGATAATCAAATATGTAGTAATTAATATTTTATATAAAGACTGTGCAGTAACAAAATTTTAATATTTTTATTGATATAGATATAAATATTATTACAGGAAAATGTAAAAAGCCTTTTGAAGTATACACAATATCTGGGTATAAAATTTATTGAGTTCTCAGACAATATCAAATGAGATGTCCTCAATAGTCCTTATTTTTACATAGGTATTTAAAAATTCTCTGAACTTTTCAAGTGAGAAATAGTCTTTATTGGCAGTTGGTAGTCGTACTAATATGAATGGCAATTATGTTTAATAATTGGTTTCAGGCGTATCTTCATTTTCACAGGATAATTAAAAGCTGAAAGAGATATTTTTGATATTTTTATTTGTATCATCAAAAGTGTTACACATGTCTTTTTTGTGACAAGAATTTTTCAGTATTCTAAGTTTAATCCAGATATGGTTTGGAAAAGAACCTTACTTGTCTTCCTGGTTTTTGATCTCATTTGGGAAATAAATTTTCTTGCATTTGCAGTTCTAGATCTTTCATTTGAATTTGAGGCTGTAATCGATGCATAAGCACATCTGAATTTCATCTTAAACATTCTTCCCTTGGTCTGCAAAATTATTTTAAACAATTGTAAATAACAAAGTTGGGATGGAGTTATGCCTTTCTACACTTCCTGAGAAGGGAAAGTGGAGAGGGAGGTGCCGATCTCCTGGTATCCAGTAACAGGATGTGGAAATGGTTTAAAGGCTGTGTCAGAAGTTTAGGCTGGACACTAGGAACCATTTATTTACTGAGAGGGTGGTCACACACTGGAAGAAGCTTCCTAGAGAAGTGGCCAATGTCCTAAGCCTGTCAGCGTTTAAGAGGAATTTGGGCAATGCCCTTAAAACCATGCTTTACCTGTAGATTTGGCTATGAAATGGTCAAGCAGTTGGACCATGGGATTATTGTATGACCCTTTCAACTGAAAGAATCTATCCTATTCTAAAGATGTAAGTTCTGGTTTTCCAACCTTATCTTCTTTCTCTTACAATGGAAAAACAAATTCTTTTATTTAGTAATGATGGTGTTTCATATTTTCATGATTTAAAACCAAAAATGTGTATAATAAAAGACATATAATAAATAACATCATTTTTTATGGTAAAAATCAAACAGGGTGGGATTTCAGTGTAGGTATTGAGCATCAGCTTTGCTGTATAACTCATTATCTGGTAATACGTCACGTTAAATTGATTTAAACACTTTAAGCACCTTAATCCTTTGGCCAGTGAATTTTATTGCTGGCTATATTAGAGACTGTTTCAATATAGTTTCAAATTTGAGAATTGAGACTCCTGACATCAAGACAGAGTTATTTTCCTGATTGCCTAGGTGATATACCTGTGCAGCTTGGAAAGAAATGGCTGTGGTCGTCATTTGTCTCCAAAACAGGCATGTGAAACTAATAGTGCAGTGACCTGTGAATGGTCAACAAAACTGGTTTGATGCATTGCAGCTACAAGGTCTCCTTGGTTAGTCATTGCATTTTTTAAGTTTGTGTTTTGATAGCAGAAAAAAATGAAATAGGGGAATTAAAAATGAAAAAAAATATTTAATAACAGGGAAGATTATGTCCTGGGGAAAAAAACCCGAACCATTATGGACGGAAGCAAATAACATGTTTTCATTGTCTTGATTTGTCAAATATGGCCAGCCAAACCTTAAAACTGGCAAAGATATTACAGGCTGCATGTGTGTTTCTTTTGACTATGTTTACTGTTTTAAGGATGAAAGATGCTGGGTTTTTATGAACTGCAGGTTTATCTAGTTAAACTTCTTGCTTCAATTGCCATTTCCTTAATCTTTTAGTGAGATGGGAGTTTTGATCTTTCCGTCTTTTCAAAATTACTTCCCTAATGACTAGATTATGACATTTTTGAAACGGCTATGCTAAGTAGGTACAGTCTGCACCTCCATCCAGGAGCTGTGACAGCAGTAAGTGTCCCTCAGAACTATTCATTGAAGGCTCTCAAAATTGGTTCTTACTTGCTTCTTCACTTTTCAGCTGCACTGTGTTGCATTCAGCATCTTGCAATGTCACAGAGCAAATGACTAGCTATTCTAGCACTTCTGAATCAATGCTCTTTACAATGCTTTTTTATTAAAATTTACCATTTGAATATGGTTTGAAGTGCAATGATAGCTGTAGATACCTATCTACTGCAAATACTACTTTAGTAGCTGTGTTAGCAGTTTTTCTTTGAAAGTGTGATGGCTTGCCTCACTTACTGAAATGAAAACTCTGCATGATTTCAATGACTTTGTATTCTCAACAATTGAAAGACATTTAAATTTAGTATTTGGTAGCAGAAATGTACCCATTAGTCTCTAGAGAAGTGAAGGTGTAGTTTATGTTGGGTTTGTACTTCATTAGAGCCACCTCTCTTGCAATGCAGTCCTGACAGATTTGTAAGATGAAGGCATTACGCTTTGAAAAGATACCTGCTTTCTTCAAGTATGAAGAGCTAATTTTCTAAAATGTGAAGAAATATTAAAATCCTATTTTGTACTGCTGCTGTTTGTATCCTGCTTGCAAATAAGGATCAGGAGGTGTCTGTTAGTAATTACAATGAACAAACTTTGCAAATCTTGCTTTGTTTGTTTACTTGCGAAGCAATTTTAAAATAACAAGGTAATTGTTACAGTTTCCTAATCACAGGGTAAGTAATATGTTTCCTCCAGAAACCCAAGCCTTGCCTGTGGTTGGGAAAGTCTTCAAAAAAGTGGAGGCTAAAGGAAAGTGTATGACCTAAATTTTTCATTGCAATTCTACTGTTCAGACAAATAGTGTGACAACTGTGTGCACTGAAGAAATGTGAAAATGTGGCGAAATGTGAGTGTGAGACAGGAGGGAGAATGTTTGGGATCCTAGTGCTTCCAGACTTCAGGTGTTCTTATCCATATATATACAAATGTGGGTGCAAGTATTTTGTGTGTGTGTATAGATGGATGTACATGCACAGACACACACATACATTTATAAACAAACTAATACATAGATGTTTCTAACCTGTAATTATGGTAGTCAGTAAGATTTTCTTTTCTTTATTTTTTTTTATTTCCCAATTTGTCCTTGAAGATTTTAACGAAGAAGGCTGCTTCTTCTATTTCATTATTAATTCAGTGTTCTTGCTTTTACATGTTTAATTCGGTTCCTGGCTGTAAGTTTGAGTAGTTTTGTGGACTGCATGAGTATCTTGCATTTTTAGGCTATGATGGATCAATCTTACTAGATATGCATCTATATTACAATGTTGGCATACAGTAATGAATCATGTTTGATAACAGGAGTAGTGTTCCATTCGTTATAAATTTTATCTTACTGAATGTGGGAGAAACCTGAAGGAGTTGTGTAACTTAAGACATCTTATTTTCTGTGAACTGCTATCTCATGGTGACTCTCAGGGCTGAATAAAGTTATTCTTGTTTGTCAAAACATACATTCTTTATGGCATTTTATAAGACATTTTAAGAAAGTCATGTCTCCCAGGGATGCAGTTCTCCCTCCTTCAGCTTTAGTAAGGGGAAACATTAAATGAAATGAGATTTGGGAATCATTTATATCGGGTCACGTTGATAACACACACAGTGGTTTTTCATCTTTGAAGTATTACAGCCTGTTTTATTATTAATCTGACTTTTTTCATTTACTTTTTTTTTTGAAAGTAATAGAGGATCAGTTCAAGTTAAGTTTGTACATCTCTGCTTCTTGTGAGGATTATTAACTAATGAGAAGCATAAAACTACGAAACCAACATTTAAGCAGAAGATGCAGAATATCATAATACAGTGAAAGCTAGGAATGGTGTAGGGATTATGTGAAAATGAACTCATTTGGTCAGCCTTGGAGGGACATTGAGATTGAAGAGGAATCAGGAACTAAAGTGCTAATGGGGAGTTCTGGAAATCTAGGTTTATGTCTTCTCTGTTTCACCTTTGACTGGAAACTGAAAAGATACAACTGCTCTTTTACCTTACAAAATAAAAATAAATAAATTAAAAACCAGTTAGTGCTCAAATTACGAGGGTTTCTAAAAAAGAAGGAATTGAATTTTTATTTTTGACTGTAAAATATAGTGCAAGTGAGAGCTAAGGTAATTTTTAAAGAAGGTTGGGGATTGTTTGCTAGTTTTTGTGCCTAAAAATGTAAACATACGTAATCATTTAACAGTCCCTTTTTTCTTTCTTTTTTTCTCTTGTTGGGTTTTTTTTCCTTTCAGTGGCTGTATGGTAGAAGTAAAGTGTGACTGCAGTAATTTGAATGTATGCAGTAATGAGTATGGGAGGAAATCATCAATGTGTTGATAATGGTGTTTACAGAGCAGAGTTGGAAGAGTGTATTCAGAGAAGGTTTACATCCTACACCTGAAGAACACAGAAAATAACCCATTTTGACTTCAGTAAGAAAACAGTGACAATTTTGAGGCAAAGTCTACATGGCAAAAACCTCTTCAATCATGTTAGTAATAGTTGCTTTGTTGGATGTAAACAGAAGGAGATTGAACTAAAATCATAGAACAGTAGAAAAGACCTTTAAAATCATGAGTTAAGGAGAAAGTTGGCACATAATGGTCTGCTATAATTTTTTCTTCCACAATTTTATTAAGTAAAAAAATACTTTTCACTGTTCACTGATACTGTTTACTGAATGTCTGCAAAGGCCTTTGGTATTCGACCCATGCAGTTAAATTCTAGCACAATAGAATGTAAAGTCTCAAAGTGAAAAATGTTGTTCAATCTTTACAGTTGGCTCTGCTGTCAATTTGATCTGCAATATATTAGAATGATAAATATGTTGAAGGAGCTCATGTTGATTGTTGATTGTGTTCTTTAGCTGTTTTCTAGGGGATGCTTTTCATCAGGCTTTTAAAAAAAAAGAGGGTAAGATTCCAAGGGCACGGTCAGTGTCATCAATACTTATGGTAGCACCTAATTTTGTATTTCAGGAGCATTTGCATTAGTTACTGAAAGCTATTCTTGGCTGCATTTTAATAGGTTAATAGTTTGTACTTAATTATATAGATCAGTATTGGCTAAGCTTACAGCAGTGTTGTAATTGAGTTACTGTAAATTTTGGTATGAGAGTTTTTCAACAGAAATTAATCCTTAATTCTGAAATAATCCCCATCTTTGTGTGCTGCTTTTCATGTACAAGAGCTGTAGCTGTAAGTTCTCTCTGTAGAGATAAATGAATTTATATGGCGAATGCATTTTCTTGAGCAAGATGTGTAACATGTTGTTTAACAGTTTATTATGAAACAATGCCAAACATTTTGCTTACTGATCAGACATGTGAATCGTTAGCTAATGTGAAAGCTATGAAGAGGAAGAGCATTGCCATCAAACTGAAGTGTTGTTTTGAAGATTCCTGGGGGCACTGATATTTTGATATTTTTCTCTTTTTCCTCACAAGGGGAAGTTATACCGAGTTATATATCAGGAAATACATTTTAAGGAAGCTATACTGAATTACTACAGGAAATTCATTAATATATTTACTGTGGTGTTTTCTGTTGGGGAGTAACAAAACAGAACTAATATTTAGTTGTATCTGGCCAAGATTTGAGGATGTGCTTAAATCATGCGACAGTATTGGCTGAATGAATTCCAGAAGACAGCAGTTGGCAAGCCTTGAGTCTGCTGTGATGGTGGACAGGCAAGTGATTTCTTCATTCAGTAAATTGCTTTGGAACAAACAAGATGCAGGATAAACAAGTGAGTCCAGTTTCTTTTTCTACCTGAAATGATGGCTACCTATACTTTTGACAGAGAATAACTGTATTGTGGGGATTTCTTCTGAGGCTTTTCAGGTTTGAAAACTCTTTTCTAGTGTGTTGTTAATAGCTGTGTAATACAGGGCTGGATTTCAGCACTGATGCCTATTACAGAGTAAAACTTAAACCAACATACAATGTTTTACTTAGAATTCAGTGCATATTCCCAGCCTACTAGGTTTACTAACCAACTGTAAAGTATTTGTCAAGAGAAAATTTATAGCACTATAACTTCATGTCTGTCTCACCCACTTTCTCTTTTGTTCATGTACTGTGCTGATGATGTGTGTTCCGAATTTGGCAAAGCTGGTTCTCAACAAGGAGTTTAAGGACAGATCTGGTTTCACGTTCACTGTGTATCTTAAAAAACCCCAAACCTTCCATTATAGGACTTTAACATGAAAAAATAGTTCTGTGTATATCTAGTTGTTGCAAATTGCTGGCCCGAGTGACTAATTTGACCCTGAAAAAGCTACAAGCTGGTAGTCATGATAATGATTTGCAGTGCATTTTAAACTGCTTTTGGCACTAGTTGTTAAGAAGGCTCTCCTTCACTCCTGTTATATTTATTAGAGTGAAAACCCTAATATATGGATGGGTGTTCAAGACTTACCTAGATAAATAGTCACCTCCTTTTTGTGAAGATTTGAGTTCATAGTACTGTTCTGTTGAGTCAAGGTTGCTTGTACTTAAAAGAAGTACACTGCTTCCTGCATTAGTCTGGCAATCTCTGAGTCAGGAAAGGATTTCCTAGAATGTGCAGGGAATACTGGACAAAGTGAGCATTGTCAGACTGGTAAGTTAAGCATGCTAGAGGATGGAAGTGTGCCTATAAATAGGAAACCAATCTGCAAAAATACATAAAGATCTTGAGAAGAGAGGATCTTAGAGGAGAAATCTAATTGGGGGATACTTAAGAAGGGTGATACATTTGAAATGGCAGTTAAATAAAAAGAAAGGTCAAGAGAGAGAAAAGAAAAGGCCTGTTGGGGAGGGGTGTTTTGTTTGAAGACTATAAATTAAGTAAGGCTCCAAAAATTAGGAACTGGTGATGCCTGAAATGTAGGTTGTGTTGGTTATAGTTGCTTCTGGATTTGTTTTTTTTCTGCTGCCTAGGGAGGACATAATAAACGTTAACGGTTTTGTAGGGTGAATATTTGCTTTTATCACAGTCCTTGGGAATTCTTCAGTTGATTAAAGTATTGGCAAGGGAAGAGAAGGGAGAAGGGCAGGGAGAAGCCTCAGTGTCCATTTGCACAAAGCTACAGTCTTAGGTTTAATTAAACAGGGTGGGGTTTTTTTGGTTTTTTTTTTTTTTTTTTTTTTTTTACTTTTGAAAAGCAATATATTAAATCTTTGAGTTTACCATGTATCTCTCTGAAGATTTATCTGAAGAACAGTACTATGAACTCGAATCTGCATGAAACTTCTGTGTACCGCTGTAAGTTTTAGAATGGGATCCTTTACATACACTTGCTTTTTCCTTAATCGAGAGTCCATAGCTCAAAATCCTGCTTATAACTCTCTACTAAACATGGTGCCTGTTGTGCAGTATCTGTTGCTTTTTAGATAAGAGATTTTGAAGTTAAATATATAGCATGTGGCATTGAGGTATAACTGTCAGATAAATTGAATTAAGTGTGTATGTAGCAATATTGTGTGTACCTGTAGGTAGCAATATCATTATTTAAATTGTGAATTTCAAGAAAACTGAACAGAACTGTTTTTTATTTCAATTCACAGGAAAGTAAAATAGGTCATGTAGGAAGAAGAGAGGCTAATAAAATAAATGTTTATTATTTGAAATTTAGGAACACCACTAAGTAGCACAGAGTTTAATTTCAACTCATTAGTTTTTACAAAATGGCCTTGAATAAAATTATCCTAAAGGGACTCTCTTATACATTCTGAGCTGATAAATGAAGGCTTTTTTCCTGTCTCACAACCTATTTTAGGGCTGTTGTTGAAAGAACATTGATACTAAGAATGATGATTCCACTTTTTGTGGCAGTAATCCATAGCAGAGACAGTTCACTCTGAAATTCCCTTTGAAAATAAAGTAAGACTCCTACAGCCAAGGAAAGGACTTCCAGTTCTAGATCACTTACAAGCACAACTTCTTTACACAGGATCAGAATTAGAGAGGCATGCCAAGTGAATGATGAAGCAAACCACCTCTTCTATGCTGCTGTGAATATAGAAAGACATTAAAAATCATAAACACTCTATATAAAAAAAACCCATTTCTTATTGCCATATTTGAAGTTTACAGCAAAAAACCAAAACACCTAAACAAACAAACAAACAAACAAACCCCCCAAAAATACCAACCTCTACTTCAAGGATGCATTTTTATTATTTTTATTACTAGGTTTAGGAGACTTATGTGTCCATTCAATTAAGATGAAAAGCCAGGTAGAGGAAGAACGGTAAAAATCAAAAACAAAGCTTGGAGATTTGTAATACCCCTGTCTCTGAAATATAAGTGATGGCAATTAAAGTGTGAGAAAATCTTGACAATCTGCTTTATCTGTGTTCATAATCAGAATACTTCATGAAAAGTTGAATTATTTTGGAACAAACAGGAAGAAATGGAACAGCCAGCCATATAAAACTAGTATGTGTGAATGATGATTTTATGACACTGTTCATCAGAGATTCACTTCAGAATGCCTTTGATAATTGTGTGGAAAGGAAAACTCTGCCTAGATATGTAGAGTCAGATACAGTTCTACTTCTTCATTAAATTTAGATTTTTCTTAACTTTTCTTTTTTTTTTTTTTTTTTTTTTTTAATTAAAGCGTATGAATCATCATCATCCTTATTTCATGAATTTGTTACATTTTGGAACAAACTAATTTTCTTCAGACTATTTTCTACTTTTTCTAATTAATTTATTTTTCTGCTAAGTTTTTTCCCTTTTTTTTTTCATCCTTAGTATTTGAAGACTCTATAAATTGAGTAACCCTTTGCTCCTCTGTAGAAGGACTCATCAGCAAGGCTTCTTCCTGTAAGTGTGGGTTTTATATCTGTAGAACTAGTGGTGTATCTCATGAGTTCAAATATCTGATCCTGTAATACAGAATAAATGGGCAAAGTCCATACCGCCTTCTTTTTCCATTTTATTGAGTACTGTTAAAAAAGCCCATAAATCTTTATAGATAGTCTCACTGTAAATTATAATGAACAATATAATTTTCTTTTCATACACAGTTAGACTTAACAATCTTAAAACTGCCGAGAAACCTGCATCTAGTTTTTAATCCTATCTACAGATGAGTTATATCCCTGTTACAAAATCCTCTTCACAAAGTCTGCCTGAAAAGCTCTCAAATGTTGTGGTATATAATTTCTCAGTTGTGTGGCCTGAAGGTGTAATTCAGTGCATCTAATATTAGGAATCTAAGTTCCCCATCTTTTTAATAATTTGAGGTACAGGCCTAGATGATTGAAAATAGCTGAGAAATATGCATTAATTTGTACGCAAACTCTCTTTTGAGTGTTTTAAATATAATCCTGCTATATGTGTGACTAAAATGGGCTCTCTACTTCATTGGACTGCATTTATTACTAATAAACTTTATTAGTGTGAACTAAGCAATGTGCAAAGTGAAAATTCTATTTGTGGCCTAGATGTAGAATTGGCACTGATCTAACTAAATTGTTAGCTAAAGCCGATGTGCCTAAATCCATGTAGCAAGCTTCTATGACCATAGTCAACCAATAAAAGAGTGCCCAGTACTCATTCAGCATAGTTTGGCTTCCAAATCCATTTTCCCACACTTAAGAGAATGTACTAGAGGCTGTCTCTGATGTAAATAAGTTACTTTGCAGATCTGTTTAGCTAAACTGAAGAAATTTCTCTGTGATTTCTGTAAAGGTCGCTTGTGATACTAAGGTGTTCTGACCCTTGTAAGATATTCTAGGAAACCAGTGTTGCTTGCCTTGAACTATCAGTTCTGGTTCTGACTGCCTGGGATGTCTGAAATACAGACATGTAACCAGAAATGGTTTTCTTGGAATTAAAATATTTGAGTGAAATCAGGTTGAACTGATTCTTAGCTACTTCTGAGATACTCATTGCTTGTGTTTAGTACTTCTGTTTTTCTAGTCCTTGCTGTAGCCTCTTCCAGCTGTGGATTCCATATACGTGCAGACTGTTGTTGTCATATGTCTGCACATATTTGGCTTACGTGTGTTTTGGATTGCACAGCATGAGCCCTGGTAGGGAGAGTAATGAATTCCTAATGCAATTCACTGTCAAGTTTGTGACCTCATCAAAGTCTAGCATATTTTAGAGAGCTTGGATGTTCTTTTTTCATCAAATCAGTAAAATCATCTTTATTCCATTCTAGCCTATCTTCTTAATGTTAATGTGGACGAACTGTGACAGCTGCCAGCATAATTTATTGCAATTTATAATATCACATAACCACCAATTGACTCTTCACATTCTTGCTGAATTCCCTCCTTGTTTGCCATGCCCCCCAAATGCACAACAGAGCCATTGAATTATCTTGGGATGTGCTTTGGCTGCATGAACCATGTCTCTAAATCTACTACTTGAATATTGGTGATTTCCATTCCCCTTGGCACACCCCACCTTCAGCATTTCCAAGCCAGGGAGCAGAGTCTGGGATGGCTGCATCACTTGGGAGGATTTAAATGAAGCTGGGATTTGTTCAGAATCAGCAGAGAAATTTTTATACTAAATATCAGGCTTGTGTTTTTGTGGTGGATTGCACCCAGAAGGATCACAGACTGTTTTCCTCTGCTGTGTGGGGCAGTGAGAGCAGTACTGGGAGGGCTGCCATGGACAGCTGCCAGGGTAGACCTGTGGAAGTCCATGCAGGTGCAGCCTTGGTTTTGTCTTTCGGGCCCTTTTTGGTGATGGAGTAAGAGACAGACCAAAACACCAGCAACCATAAAAGTTGTTTTTCTATGTGAAAGTATGGTAATCATAGTCAAAATGGACAACAGCATATTGTTTTGATTCTAAAAGGTATGTAAATAGTCTCTGTTTGAAGGGAAAGTAAAGCAGGGGCTCAGCAGGAAGCCTGAGAGGAGGCTGCAGCAGGCACACACCTGCTCAGCAGTGCTGGAGTGATATTCAAGTGGAAGGCACAACGTGTTTATGCAGCATCACGGTAGCTTACTTTAGTTTCTTTTTATTTTATGAAGCTGGAATAATTCCCTAACTGTAAATTCTAGTTCTGCTGTTTAAATTTTTGACACAAGGAACTATTGGGTAAATTTTTGATACAATAAACTATATTTTTACCTATTGCCCTCTTCTTCATTAACTTTCTCCTTTGCACAGCTGTGTACCCTTGTTCATTTTGAGGAAATAAATATGGTCCTCTGTACTGAGTAGGTAGCAGGTTATACAATTGCAGCTTTTATATCATTTCCTCTGTCTATCTCCCTGGGGAAGAGAAACACCAAGATCTTCAGAAGATCTTTTTGTTGTTGTAGGTGATGGACACATACTTTCTTGTGGGTCTTGTGTATAGTCACAATATATAACCTTTAAATGTAGAAAGTGCAATAAAAGGCACTTATTAAAATTTTACAGTTATCATCCTGAATTAGGAAATGCTAAAATTCTGTGTTTAGCAGTAACACCATCCTATGTACATATTTACGACACAGGACTGTAGTGCTGGGTGATACTATTCACTTAGGCTGTGAGGACTGTTGCTGCCTCTACAGTTTGTTCACCAAATTCCATTGCATGATAAAGACATATTGGTAGGTAGTTACTGTTTTTTCATGTTCTTATATTTCCTTGAAAACTTTGCAATGGATTCACTATCTGGTGTGAAAAGCAAGGATCCTAGAGTGGACTGGGACTTGCTTTCATTTGGGAATACTGTGTATTATTTTGTGCTAAAAGGGTTTCCCTTACATTAGATTATATCTATTCTACCTCTGTGGGAAGTGAAAATACTCTTATAAGTTTCAAAGTCATTGAGTGGATGAAAGGACCAGATTCAGTGATTAAATGAAGAATAACAAGGTGGTGCTCTAGAGATGGCCTTGGTTTTCTTGTTACACATATTAAGCTGCCTTCTCAACACTGCTGTGGGCACCAGAATGATTTGTATTCATCCAAGATGACTTTTTATTGAGGTTTACTAATGTACACACTGGTCCGTATGGAGAGTTTGCTTTGTAGTGTTCAGCAGTGTTAGAGTAGAGTAGAGAATTGCCCTCCAAATACTGCCAGAATAAATAAAAATACTATCGTGGAAAAACTGCTTCTGAAGAACAGCTCCCTATTGCAGCTTTGTTTTTCCAGAACCTGCAGTAGGGAGGGAAGCCAACACTTATTTTCTTAAAGGCGGTTAATGACTTCACCCATTTCTGAGAAGACTGTCTCCTAGTTTATTAGAAAGAGATTGCTTGTCTACATGTCATTGTAAATGTCATAAATATGAAAAAAAAAAAAAAATCCTTGATTTAAATTTCAAAGCAACAGTTCTTGCCAGTGGGACCCTAACCTGTTCATACAATGTGTAGCTGCTCAGCATCCCTTCAACATCTTTTGTTTCCTATTTGTATTATAGTTTCTAGGAAATGAGATTAGTTGTGAGAACCAGGTTTGCTGCTTTAGTAGATAGTGGATGTTTATGTGATACATTAACCTCATACTGATGCATTTCTTTAATTAAGTTTGTTCCCAAGGAAAGTAAGAATAATAACATTTGTAAATGTTTATGCTTACTGTAAGATGTGACTTACAGAAATTTGTGTTTCATGATTTAGACCTGAGGACATACAAATTTCCAAGGTTTGACTGTTGCAGAGCTTATGTTTAATTCTGGGCCCAAAGTAATATTTTGTTTAGTCAGGAGTCAGGCAAGGTAAACATTAATGTCAAGAAGCATGAACTATCTCATTTGCTTCGGTGGATGCTGATGCCCTGATTTGACCTAATAAGCCTCAACAGGATTAACCCTTAAAATGATTAACACATTAAAAGAAAAAAATCTTATTTTTCTGGTTATGTAATCTTATAAAAAATGTAAGTTCATTAACTTCAAAAGATTGTAACTTAAGGGACTAAGATTAAAACTAAATCTTCAGATAGACAGATATAATAAAAAGTATTGCTTTAATTAATTAAATTGTGACATTCTAGTATTATGAAGACAACACTATAAAATCTATGTGACTTTTGTGTTGTGGTTTACAAGGTTTTGTTGTTTTTATGTAAAATAGAATTGTCTTAGTAGGCACAAAAACTGTATCTTGAATTGAACAGCTGTATAAATATTTCCTGATGACTCCCTTTCAACAATAGCTGACAAACAAACAAACAAACAAAAAAAAACCAAACAAAAAACAAAACAAAAAACCCCCCAAAAACCCAAAACAAAACAAAACCAAACCAAGAGAAGAATAAAAAATACCTGTTTATATTACAATGGGCTGTAAACACACCACAGTATTTCTCCCTCCTGAGATTACATAAAGCTCTGTTCCTTGAGTTTTGCCAGTGCATTAGTGCCCTCTTCCTCCTGGTGAACCCCTTCTGAGTGTCTCTTCAGGGCCAACAGCAAAGTTCCATCTCACAAGGACTTGATGGCTGTCATCCAGCAACAAGAATAGTTTAGTGATGCTGCTTTTCTTCCCAGGGCGTTTGTGACATGGAGTGGGCCAGGCTCATTGCATCTTCTGCATAAATCATCTGATCATTGCCTAAATTCCTGTTGAATATTATCTTTTCAGCATAGCTTTTCCAGTGCCCATACCAAGGAGAGCAAAATATAGTAGAATTAAATAGGAGGTGGAAGGATTTAGTATAAGTTTAGGTTAGTTTTAATTCAGTGCTTTAGTTTAGCCAGAACAGATTCTGATGATACTGAGCTGAAATCATAGGCATGAAACAGCATGACTTTGCTCCTGTCTCCTTGCATCTTTCCACATTCTGTGGAGTTGCCAACACACTTTAGGTTTTAAAATTCAATTTGGAGTTCTGTAGCCAGGCATTTATAGAATAAATAAATAAATGTTTTGGATGAGAAAATCCATATTTCATTCCCATCCACGCTTGTTTCATGTTTTGTTCGTAATTACAATGATACTTTGTCAGAGTTTTAAAAATGGTAGAAATTGTTAATAATTAGGAGGTTATATGTTTCTAGTCACATAAATCTGAGAAATGTGCATTTGCCAGTGGTATGTAAAATAAGATAGTGGTCTCAAATTATAAGTTAGGGTTTTGTGTTGTCTTGATTAATTTTTTTAAATGCATTCTTACTCCATGTTGTTGATCTGTATAACTGCTAAAAGAACAAATGACAAAAGTATTTCCCTATGACTCCTATGAGAGAAGTGTTGTGAGCTAAGAGAATTATGGAGTCAGAATGGAGACTGAAGTTATTTGTGTTCATATTTAAATAACTGTGTAAAAATAGTGATGTTGAAGAGAGTAGTAGCTCACCAGGAAGAGTTCTGTGAGGTTGAACATTTTTCCTCTGCAGTCTCTATGGGCAGTCATGAATTCCTGCTCCAGGGTTTCTAGTCACGAAGCAAGCTTTAGGCTTTTTTATGGGTCTGAAAGGTGACTAAGGAGGTACAGCATCCTGTTGTTTTGGCTACATCAAATTCAGAGTCATCATTTATGATTTCTGTCACACAAATAAAGATTTATAAGCCTGTTCAGCAAAAGAGAAGATGTCAGCCAATTTGTACCTCTGTATCTAGAATCCATATGAAAGACTTGCACTAGTTTATAAATAATCCAGTGAGAGATCTAAATAAGTGCAGGGAAAACAGAAACATTTATAGTCTGTGCCTGTGCCAAAAATACTTCATCTTAATTGAGAGATCTGTCTTCTTATGGAAAATGGTAGCAAGATTTTTACCTGAAATAAGATCTGAAAACAGGTTCTGAAAGACTTGAAAATAATAACAGAAGCCTTCTGAAATACCCTCCAAAACCTTGACATCAACCAGATTTTATCTCCTGTATATTTTATGTTTGTTCAACTGTTTCTTCTTCTGAATTTGTCATGCCTTCTTATGTTGTGCCTTTGATTGATAGTGCTTATGCAAGAAAATGCCTTTTTTTATGTTCTTAAATACTTTTCTGAATCAGGGCTATAATGTTACCAGTCTTTTATAGGTGGAAGCATGAAAGGCAGCTGAAATGCTGGGTAATTATTAATACTTGGCTAGTAATAAATTTGTCCAAACTGCATCTTAGAGGAGATAGAATGTATTCATAAATTTTGTGTTGTTATTGTTGGATTATTTGGGGAAGGAAAAATAATTGGAAGGTACAGCATTTTAAATTTTTTTGAATCAGCTACTAATTCTGAAATGTCATATTCAGTAGAAATCTCACTAAAAATCAGAAAAAAATTGTAAGATGGGTTTTAGTGTTTTGATATTGAGAGAATAAAAAACATCCAAAAAAACTAAACCCTGACTAAAACAAGAAAAATGTCCATTATGGACTTATCTCTTTTAACATTTAGTTTTTCTATGTGTTCCTCAAACTGAGAAGTCTCATTATTTTTGTTGTTGAGGTGAGTGTCTCTGGTTAGGCATTTAAGGCTTTCTGGGGGAACCAGGAGGAAAGCAGGCAGAATTTAGAGCTCTCTGGAGGACTTTTACAGTAGCAGCATTAAAGGGCAAACCACGCTTGGATGTCAAACACCCAAAGCAAAACCAACAGATTGCTTGAGTCAGAGAAGCTGATGGTGTGGGTTCAGGCTGCCTGAAACGTGTACCAGGATGCCTGAGCTATGTGCACTTCAGACAACTTCTGTGTGGCTGTCAGGAGATGTTCATTAATTTCAGGATAATAGTTGTCCTGGGAAAGGAAAAGTGGAAATCTGGACTAAGAATTTCAGTAGAAGTAAGCGATGTGCAAATAATTTTAAAAAGAACAACCCAAAGCCTGTTATGGTTTGTGGTCTTGATGAGTCCATTAAATCTCAGGCTCAAGTAGAGGCAAATTTTAGAAAAATATAGATGAGATTTCTTATATAAACATGAATATATTTAATTAAAAGCCTGTGTAGATAGATGTAGTGAGACTTTATGAACATCTGTTGACTTTTTCTCAGAGTTCATTATGCAGAAATTTGTCTCTTCTGCTCATTTTGAAATTTGGACATTAAACTTAATTGATTCATAAGAAGATGACGTGGATAATAGATTGCTAATAATGTGCACAACTTACTAAGGTGAGCTTTGTTTTGCTGAATTAATAAGTGAATTTTAACAGAGATAGTCCAATTGCCAACAGAAAGGGATCAGAATTTCCTTGTATAAATAAGATACAAATAAATTTTATTAATTCAGAGTCTTCTCAGTGGAGGGGAATGACAGAAGTTTCAATATGAGAAATCAGAAGAGTTAATGTTGCTGTTGCAGCAGCTATTTTGAATTAATGGATATGACTGCATGCAGGCAAGGAAAGAGCTTTTTCTCTTCAAGAAGTAAGTATTATCCTTACAGACAGCACTGGGAAAAAACCCCATCCCAAACAAAAAAAGAAAAAAAAAGCTTTAGAAGGCATCTCTGCTATTTGGAATGCCTACACAAAATTTATTCTTACATGCTCCTGTAATTTGTGACATGATGGATGATCTTTACACCGAGAAGTTTGAATTAGTGCTGTTGTCCAGGTGTCACTGAGCTGTTGTACAAGTGTGTAGGCTTGTCCCTGCCCTGCCAATGGCAGTTGTTCTGCATGGGCTGAGTTACCTGGTGCTAGTGGTGTGATTCTGCTGTCGAGTCCTGTAGTTTTCCCCCCCTCCACGCAGCCCCCGGAAGAATCCGACTAGCTCAGAGATAAGGGGCTGTGGGGGGAGGAATTTCAGGAGAGGGAAAAATATTCAAAGAGGCTCTTACCCCAGGGTGTTGGTTGGTACAGCTCTCTTTATTCTGTGGTGTCCATGGGAGAGCGAGGCAAAAGAGGAAGAACAGGAAATCTCAGGGGTCTATATAGGTTTTGGACAGGGTGGGCTTTCCTGGCTCTCCGCCAACCCCGTTGGGGCAGGAAGGAGGATCCAGGGTGTCGGAATCTGTGGGTATTGGTGATTTCGAGATTGTAGAAAGTCTGTGTCTTTCTGCCCCGTTGCCAAAGAAGAAGCCATAGTTCGTCTGTGCTGGTTTCAAGGTTGTTTATTTTTGCTTATCTATAACATGTTCTGCTGCCCTGCCGCAGGTCTGTTTTGTAGGGCAGTGTGCGGGGCTCTGCCCCTTAGTGGGATGGTACAAACATTATATACCAGAAATTACGTGTACTATATTTATAATAATGTGCCAATATCTATCATCTACGTTGAACAGTGTGTCTCCAGCCTAAACTAATAGAAAAATGCCAACATCACTAAGAACATGGAGGTAAGGAAGAAGAAGGAGGAAGAAAAGGATTAGGCCCACTTTCCTCTATTTTAGAATTTTTGACTCTTCTGTATAAAGTAAAACTCCCCTGTATAGGTGTTAAAACCCCCTTGTACAATATTAAAAAAATTTATCTTTTAATTTGTGACTACTTTTACTATATTATTTAACTCTCTGTGACTGCTTGTTCTACTTTTAAAGTTGGTAATTCATTCTATGGTTCAAACTCAAAATCACAGCTGTTTTCAGCTGCTTGTCAGGGTCTAAAATGCTTCTGACTAAGGCCTGGAACTTCTAAAAATGTCTGAGGGACATCTTGAGTTCCGACACCAGGGGTTATCTTGATCAGAGTCACAAGGTCCTGGGGAAGGGGGCACAGAGTGTCCTTGAGCTCACTGTAACAGAGTCCCATCTGGCTGGTGTTTTGGCAGCTTGCACACCTGTGTGAACCTTTCTCTTCTATAGAACTTTGTAGACCTACAGTGAGGGATTTTCCTTTCCCGTTCACGGGAAAACTAGGAACTCCAGCCTACGCGCTCTCTCTTTACATGTGTTCTGAAGTCTTTTACACAGCACTCAGTTTTGACTTGTCTTCGTTGGTGACAAGGCTCAATCCCATTTGGAAAGGTTGAATGACTGTTTCAATTTAAAACTCAAAGTAGGAGAACTACTATTTCAAGTAAATGGTAATTTTTCCCCAAGGTGAAAAAGTTCTGATTGAATCAGAAATTCAGACCAGAACTGTTGTTTGCAAGAGTAGTTACTGGTTGCAGGTAAATAAGCTTTTGAGGAGAAAGGGTTTGTATAACTTGCTGACAGTTTCATACAAGAGGAATGTACTGCTATGTGTTCCCTCTGCAAGGAGCCTTTTACAAAAGTATGACATAAATGCTGTGTTGTGTGAAGGAATAACTACTAAAAAAATCCTTAAATTTTTTACATTTTCTTTTATTATTAACAGAATTTTTCCCAGTCATTATGGTTGCTATACTGAGTGCTGTTTCTCAGTCTCTGTAGTAGGAGTAGAAATATGAGTTAACTCAGTTCAGCGATCTGTTTTATGGAGTAATGAAGATGGACAGAGTCTGAGGTGAAGGCCTCTTGCACAGGAGCATCAGCAGACACATATGCCCACCATGTAGGCTCATTTTGTTACTAATATTTTTGCTCACAGCACTGTCAAGATTAACTGTCTACAGCAGATATTTTACCAGGAGTGCTACATTCTTGATGTTACTGAAAGGTTTTCATTGGAGAGATACAACAGCATGTTTCCCTGGTACTCAGTGTTGTAAAAAAAATCAGAGCAATTCTGCTAAAGGGAAAAAGAAATGCTAAACTAATGGAAGAACATGTCTTGAATATCTAAGGTTAACAAGGTCTTTGAATGATCAAAGCTGCAAATAATTCAATCAAAAGGGGAGGAGGAGGAAAGAAGCACTGAAATATCAAGCGGCCCCTGATACCTATATGACCAGATATGTGGATTCCTCAAATGAACCCAGAGTTTGAGCAGTGCCAGGATTACTTTGACAGCTCTACAGAAATGGGCAATGTGATAATTCAGCTTGTGGTCTTCTGCCTGGGGTTTGAAACATTACCTTTTTGTCCTGTATTATTTGGCTGATTTGGCTGCCTTAGAAATTAATAATTGTCCAGGTAAATCTGGATATTGAATACAATTGAACCAACAGTAGACAGGGAGGTGAGCAACGACCCACATAAAGATCTTTTTCAACTTAATCCAGAATATACATCCTGGGGGGACTTTTGGGGCAAAATGAACCATGGTTGTTTTCTGTGTTAAGGAGACTTCTTCAGAGAAGGAGAAGCAGTAGTAGCTGTGGTGAGGAAAGAGCATAAAGGCTAGTTGGAAAATGCCTGTGTGTGGTTGAAAGGGCCAAGTACAGCACCTCTGCTCTTCCTTCCAGCCATCCCAGGAGTAACAAGCAGTTCCAGGCCAATTTTCTAGAGTGCTAGACAGAATCTGCTTCATAGCATTTCTAGTGTAATTATAAACTGGCACTCTTTTTGGAAGAATCTGATCTTGCTCCAGTGAATACAAGATTGCACTGACTATTGCAATCAATAGGGTTTTTTTACAATAGATGAATTTTCTTAGTAGAAATGCTCTCATATAATTTCAGCATATATCCAAGACAGTCATCCTTTTGACCATGAGTTTCTGGCATTTAAAGAGTACCAAGCAGTCTAATGGGCAAGTGGGAAAAACACCAGAGAGATCTTTCAATCCTGAGGAAAACAGGTTAATCATGGTAAATGATTATTTGAAGAAGTCTGCCAAGGTGAAAGCACTTCTAGCTTATTTATTACTGATAATAAATAGAACTTGAAACAGCAGGGTTTTTTCATGTCCATCTATTCTATATGGAAACTGTACTTGTCATAAAACAATGGAAACTAGAATAAATGTTTAATTTTTCTTAATTTTGAACAGATAGAATAAGGTGAGAAAAACAAAAAGAGATGAAAAATGCATTTTTCTTAAATTCTCTCTGTTTATATCTGTCTGGGGTTTTATCAATAAAGTGTGTTAGTATGAATAACAATTTCCTTAGCCATATTTTTAGTGACTTCAAGACAAGTTGGTTACTAATGATGGGAATAGAGGCTGGCAGATGACTACCGCAACTCCACAATAACATTTGTTAAATCTTTCTTTTTGCTGTATTAAATAGAGCTAGTAATCTATTTTCTCTTCAATGAAGAGTGATAACTACTATAATTATTAATGCAATGCCAGTCACTTAAACATGTGGTATTTAGTATGAGTAATAGTCTTTCTTTTAAAACAATTTTTACTCCCACGGTCATAATTTCATTACTTTGTGTCATGTTATTATTAAATGGAGTATACCTAAATTCTCTTCAAAAAAGATATTGCTGGCATTTTCAAATTAGTTGAGGTCTAATTTCCACTATAACAGATCAAGTGTTTGGGGTTTTCCAAATTATCTTTTATTATTTTTTTACTAGCAGATGATGTGCCAAGGGAACAGAGAGAGAGAGGGAAAGGCAAGTTGCTGTGATGTGATATATTTGATCAACCATGCCAGAGTCCTTTTCCCATGTGGTGGGAAATGTTTAATGCAAAGTGCCAAGTGTGTCAAGACAGCAGAAAATTAAAACTGTCGCATTTGAATGTCAGTTGGGATACCACGAAACTTTATAAAGCAAAGTAAGTACATCTGATGTGTTGAAGCTGATGGGATTACTGGAATTGGTAATAGTTTTGGAGAAGCCCTTTTTGTAAGTTAATGTTATTAATCACTGTCCTCAAGCCTAGAGCCTGTTAGATTTTCATTAGCAGACAATTAGTGAGGTTAGGTCCAAACATAAGGAGTACTGAATGCCCCCTGATGATAGAGGGGCAAATGGTCTGGTCTTCCCAAAATCACAGAGTGATAGAATGGTTTGTGTTGGAAGGGATCTTAATCTAGTACCAGTACTCCTGCCATAAACCAGGTTTCTCAGGGCTTCATCCAGCTGAAACACTTTCAGGGATGGGGCATTCACAGCTTCTCTGGGCAGCTTGTTCTGGGGCCTCACCACTCTTACAGTCAAGAATTTTTGAACGATTTCCAGCCTAAACCTCTCTTCCTGTTTAAAACCATTGCACTTTGTCCTTGCTGTTGTAAATAATCTCACTCCTTCTTTCATGTGGGCTCTCTTCAGGTGCATTTAGGTCACATGGAAGGCTTTGCTTTCCAGGCTGAACAAACCCAAATCTCTTAGCCTCTCCTAATAGGAGAGTTGCTCTATCCGAAGTGCATCATCTAGAACTTGGTTTTGTTGAACTGCATGAGATTGCCCTTGGCCCATATTTAAAATTATTTTTAGGCCTGTGAAACATGTCAAAAGAGTACTACCTCCAGTGAAATTGCAGGAGGGATCACATTATTATTCACATGCTTTATTTGCTTCTGTTCTGAATGCAGCATGAGTTTCTGATTTGTGGTAGTTGTATTTTTTTTTTTTTTTTTTGGTCTGGATCAGATGTAAATATTGGGAATAGGTTTGAATTTTTTAGCATTGAAATGTTTGTGAATGAAATATTTGAGAAGGGATATTGTGGATCTATTGCATCCACACTTCTGGAGTTAAGAGAAGTGTCACCTGATTGTCTTTATCCTATATGCAATGAATAAAACTGCTGTCTGTCACACATGAGTTCTTTCCAAAGGAAGAATTAAATTATATTCTGGCTTCTTTTTGCTGATGTTCTCCATGGTTCAGAATTGTGGTTTTCAAAGGGGAAAACCCAGAATTTGTGCCAAATTGTATTGAATGCCAATAATGTTTCAGCTTATTAAACTGCTCTGTGATTTCTGCTTGACAGTGGTCAATAGTCATTTATCACTCATCTTGTAAATTGCTGTAAATTGGATATAATGGATAGTTGTTAGTTTAGTGGAGAAACTCTTTGTTTACACCACAATAGAACCTGTGGTGTAGAACAAGTTTTTATTTACTGAATACATCAGAAAGCTGTTATTACTTTATTTCAGGATTTTTTCCCCTTCAGTATCATTATCCTGTATTAAGTAGGAGAGAAGTCTCAGTTTTGTATACAACAATTCCAAGGCTAAACTTTTGTTAGACATTCATGTTCTTAGGTTTTTGCTTGTGGATCGGATGTTGAAAAATATTTATTCTTTTGACTATTCCATGGAAAATCTGCTTGGGAGAATGTTTTAATTTTGTGAGGGGCCATGAAATGATTATTTTATATTAGTCCAAAATAAAGTGCATGAGAGGCAGTTGCTTAAGAGTTTGGCATGGGGTTCTGCTGGGCATATCTGCCTCTGGAGGTCGTCTAGTCCAAAACCATGCTTAAAGCAGGGCAGCCTGGAACTGGTTGCTCAGTAATCCTGTGTGAGTATATAAAAGGGTGGGGACTCCACAACCTCTCTGGGCAACCTGTGCCACTGCCTGGCCATTCTTGCAGTAGAATGCATTTTTCTTGCATTAAGCATTCTTGCATTAAATTTCCATTATTCCAATTTGTCCCAGCTTCTTTTGACCTGTCTCTGGGCAGATATAAGAAGAATCAGGCTTTTGTCATCGTTCATTTTCACTGATGCATGACTGAGCTGGGACAGCCCTAAATTTGGCTTGAATCATTGTGATTACCTGCATCAGATTTTTTGTATGGAGAGGCTTAAAGTGCTAAGATAAAGAGCTAGTTTTTTTCTAAAACCATATGGGAAATCAGTATTCTTAATGTTCCATTTGGTGTGATTTACTAGTGTTGCATTTTGATGATTTTTCAGTGTTTAAAATAAACTATCACTCCCTTGATTAAAAATAAATGCTTGGTATATTGGAAGAAAGGTAGATTTCTGTTTCAGAGGAAGCAGCACCTTCCTATTGCACAAGCAGCTGGTTATAGTTTTCTGCTGGTGGAATAGTGGGGTATTTTATTTTCAGCAAGGAAGAAATACAGCATGGAAAAGAAAAAGTCCAGATGTTTACTTCACAACATGGGGAAGAATTTTACTAATCTTGCCTGCCATACCAAAGGGTGAGAGCATTTTTCTCTGTTAAAGCTTTTGTAGCCTCCATGAATTTATAATTGCCTACTCTGAGCAATGCATGTGAAATCTCCTGTTTTACAGAGGCAAACATTTCATAAATCTGCTTGAACCATGAGCACAGCACAGTAGCAATAAAAACCCATCTTGGATTAATAAGAAATGTTTTTGCTTATAGTTTCTTCAGTGCTAAGCCATTTCTCTGTTATGTAGAAAATTTGAACAATTTGAAGCAGACTGAACTCTGCAAGTGTCTGTTTCTAAAGCTCTTTAATCTCCTGTATTTGGGTTCATCTGTGGTTGTCAGAAAAAATCATACTGTCTTGAAAACTTTTTTAGGTGACATTATTTGCTCTATCACTACTCTCTACCCTTGTTCCTAAGCTATTACAACAGTTCTTCAAAGTTTATTTAGCAATCACATTGCTACTTGTGTCCTCAGACAATTTAGGATATCTCAGCACTTCTAAGTCATGGTTTTTGGGATGTCACTACATTCTTTCTGCTCAGAAATATCGTTGAAAAGGTATATTAATAACAAGATTTAGTTTTAATTGATTTGTTCTGAAAGAAAGCTCTTGATGACTTTGGCTTGGGTTCAAAGCTTGTGTGAATCCTGTGGGTTGCTGTGCTACCTCACCCCAGCACATGGCCCCAGCCTTCCATACATTATCTTTCCTGTGGAAGGCTTTGCATTATGGTAAAAAGATAAAAGGCTGCTGGGAGGGCTTTTCTCCTCCAAGTGGTGCTTAGGTTAAGAGTAACAGCCACAGTTTCATTGCATCTAAATGTGAAATTTGAGACCAATTTAGTGGAAAACAGTTCTGTTATTAAGACATTTAGACACATTCATTCACTAGATTTAACTAGTTTATGTTCTCTGCTAAAAGAAAAATATTTATTTCTGAAATCATTCTGCATCTCTAACAGCATTATGAATAAAATGTATATACTTGTTTTTCAGATAAGTAGAAATCATGGCTTGATATTTGGTTAAAGAGGAAATAGCAGAACTAGGTAGAAGTATTATGGTCTGCTTGTTTTAAGCCCACAGATTTTTATAGGGGCATGAGCCTTCATATAAATAATTTTTGGTGCTCTAGTGGGACATACGTGCTTTGAGACTATTCTTCCCTGAAAAGAATAGATACATTCAGACTGTCCAAGAGTTAAGGCAACAGGACATTGCAGCTGTTGTACTGTAAGAAGTCTGCAGCTTTGTGAAGGATAATTACAGTTCTTTTGGGAAATAAAAATCCCCTCTCTTCAGAAGCTGCAGAATATATGATTAGATATCATGAAGCATTGCCTTGGATTATAACCAGTCTGATTGCTGAGCCTGAAAATCTGGTTATTTAAATTGCCTGCTGTTTGATTATAACCCTGTGTCAGGATTTGGGATTACAGCAAATGACTCCAAAGAGCAGAGGTACCAGAAGTAAATTGTAAACAGCCCTTACACTTCAACATATTCCCTTGTGGCAGGTCAGGACTGTACATGCATGTCTGTAAATGCTGAGAGGAGAGTGAAAGCTTTCTGTTTATGAGGAAGTCAGCAAGAATGGGCATTCCTTGAATATCTGCTCATCTGGGGATAGTTGGGGATCTTTCATGAAGAGGACAGCCATGGGTGGCAGTGCTTAAAAGGGAGAAATGCTCAGATGCCAGGAGAAATTATATCTTTGTCTTCCTTTTTTTGGTTACTGTTTTTATACATTACAACTTTTTTTGGTGAACTCTAGTGGCAAAATCAGTGTTGATTTAGGCTAGCTTAGGCTTTGCTGAAACTAGAACTCATTCTGTCCAACAACAAAGAAAAAAATTATGATAAATTTATGGATGGACTTGGGTGATAACGTTGCTAGAAATTGAACCAACTAGTCTGAGTTCATGGGTCTCCAGCTTGATGATACATCCAAAGGAGATATGACCTGTATTGACAGTGTTTATTTCTACCTTTGTGTATGAGTCATTGGCCACATGGAATTACTGGAATTATCCCTGGGCCTTCTGTTGTATATCCTGTCTTCTCAGGGGTTTTCTCTTTATTCCCTTTTTTGCCTTTTTTTTTATTTTTTCTTTTTTATATTTTCCTTTTTTAATTCTTTTTTTCCCCCCTCTATTTTAATTTTCCTTTTTATGGGGGTTTTCATTTTTTCTTTTTCTTCTTCTTTTTCTTCTTCTTTTTTTCTCTCTTTTTTTTTTTTTTTTTTCCAGGGGTTTTGTTTTTTCTTCTTTTTTCTTTTTTCTTTTTTTCTTTTTCTTTTTTCTTTTATCTTTTTTTTAAGCATAAAAGAATGTCTGCAAAAAAACTGGTGGTATCTGTTGATGCTGTGAGAAGTACCAGTATGTCATTGATACCTGAACAGTTTTTCACATTCACATGCTCAGACATGTCAGCATTGTTGAAGGTAGGGGAGCATTCTGACCCAGGTTTGAAAGTCAAGAGCGGGTTGGTTGGTTGGTGTGTTATCATCTTAATTCCATTGTAGAATGGGGTCTGGGTCACTTTCTTTGATTTTTAGGTGTCTTCTAGGACAGAAGTGTGAGATTTTTTTGTTTGGAAAGGGTTTGTTTTCTTTTAAAATAGTATGGTAAAATGTTTGTTAGCAGCACAATGAGGTCACATCTTAAAAAAAAATTAAAATAAAATAAATATCTGTTGTTTGCTTGCCTGCAACAGTAACACTTGCTTACTTGACCTGTGGGCTTAGGATTGATGGTGGTGGTCACATTTTCTGTTCCTGTGAATGGAGCTGGAGTGAGTCTGACATTTCTGCTTTCTGAGTATTTGATTTTTATTATCTCATTAATATTGTTAATGTCTTTTTTTGTGAGTGGAGGATCTAGTGCAGAACATTGCTTTGCGCAAGATTTTATTTTTGGAAAAATACAAATAGAAAAATACTTAATTCTTTTAATTTCTAAAACCTGCAACTTTCATGTGTAGGAAATGCCTAAAAAGGTGATTCAAAATACCTGTTCCACTAGTGTGGGGTATTTGGTTTTTTTTTGGGTTTTTTTTTGTTTTTTTTAAATGATTTAATATTCAGTCCCTTTAAGCATTTGCTAATTTACATTGTGTTGACATAGTCCACAAATATTGTACCTTTTCATTCAATATGTCTTTTATTCAAACGTATTAACAGATTCCCATGTTCAATGAGTTATTTTAAACTTTCCTTGCCATTACGTAGACTGCAGCTGTTAAAAGAGTTGACTAATAATTGCTCTTTTATGTACATCAGTGAGGGAATTGTTTACCTAAATGGTATTGATCACTTGTCCGTGAGCTATGGGAGTGTTTATTATAGAAATTTACTTTTACCAAGAGAAATAATACTTCAAATCCTTCTGAATGGAGCACTGGCCCAGGCTGTGTTTGGAAATAGAGCTGCTGCTTTCAGAAGGTTTGCAATACGCCACCATAGCAGTGAACTCCCAACTATAAAACTGCTGGAAGCCATCACCTCTTGCTGTGTTTGGGGGGTGGAAGGCAGCACCACAGTAGCTCTTGGGCTGAAAAAGAAGTGTGCTGTGAGCTGATGTGAATTTGCAGGGGTTGTACTTGCAGATGTCTTGGGAAGGGTCTCGGGACTGGTCCTTCATTGGGGTCAGAGGTGGGGCCAGGTCTTCTTGGGGCCAGAGATCAATCTGGACACTGATAGGATAACCAGTTTATTTAATGTACTTATCATGGACTTCATGTATGGATAAATAATAGATAGTAATGGGAGAAGTGCAGATTTCTCCTGTATTCCTCATACAATTGAAATTCACATCAGAATTAGGATGGAGATATTTAATTCTGTAAGTTTTTCAAACTAAAGGTTTGCTAAAATTTTCTTCTCAACTTACATTTCCTCATGTGGTTTTTATTTTTTACTTTACAGCATTTATTCTTTTATAAAGAAATGATTTCCTTAGTTGCATTTTGACCTAAAATTCTGATGCTTTTAGCAGTGTTTCTGCTTGAGTTGGGAAAACAGACGAAATTCACCAGCCTTCTTTGTCTGTTTTCCATGTGATATAATGCCTTTTGTGATAGGCATTGGCAAAGAACCGAGGTGCAGAAAAGTGTGAAAAACATGGAAATCCTAAAGCCATCATATGAAAAATTGAATATCCAAGTGTATGAAGCTTACACAGCACATCATCCTGCTACATATTTAACAGTTTTTCCTGAGTAGTAGGCAGCTAGCTTTGGAAAGTCCATGAATATTTAATTCTGTGAGATGAAAAGTAACTATGGAGCAAACATATAAGACTTTTTGTTGTTGTTGTGGTTGTTTATTCCTTTTATTTGTGTGTGCTTTGTTTTCATATGGATGAATCAGCATTTAATTTCCCAAAATGCTTCTAAAATTATTTCCATCAACTTAGTAGTGTTTGCTGCTGAGGCAGACCTCCTCAGCTGGAGTTTACCTTAGTGAAGATGAGAGCTAAGATGCAGAGCTTGAATGCTTCTTTAGTCTTGGTGCAGTTTTTGGCAAATAAAAACAGAGAGAGTTCTGAAACTATAATGCTGAATTTCAATATTAAAATACAGGTTGAACCCTTTTTGCTGCTGCAAACTGTAATGTTCTGTAACCTTTTGAACTGAGGGGAGAAGTAGAAACTTGGGATGTTGGCAAATGGTTTTTTTGACAGCAACTAGCTGGAGAGAAGTGAGCTGCCTTATATAAGCTGTTTGTCCTAGTTCTGCTGTTCAGGCTGTTTTAGTTTGGCTAGAATACAGATCGAAGAGAAACATGATTTACAGGTAGAAATAATATCTTTTGTGAGATCAGAAGGCACAGAGGGAAGAAATAGGAAAGGCTTTGGCTGTGTAAACCCTTGTCAGATGAGAAACAGTAAAAGCAGAACTAGTAGGTTGATAACAATTGCTATGAATTTAATTATGTAGATCATCTAGACAAGTCAGAGAAAAGAATTCTTCCTACCTGTGGTGCAGAGTGCTGCTGTGATGGATCATATTGTTTGATCTGGAGGAGGAAAGCCTTAGGCTGGTAAAATTTGCTGACGAACAGATTTTCCTTCAAGTCTATAAGTATGTTAGGGGGAATACATGATCATTTTTGTCTGGGAAATTACTTTGTCACTATGCTAGAATTTATTTTGCTGCTTGTTGACAGAGATCTATTTAAGTTATTGTAATGCAGTTTTAAAATACTCTTTTATGTCTTTTTTTTTCTTCCTAAGGACTATTGACTCTGTTGCACTCTGCCCTCATTTTTTTTAAAAAAAGTTTTCTTTCCTCCCTCTCCCTCCTTTCCTCCCTCCCTCCCCTACCAATAAATCTGCTTAGCTTACATCTCACTCTCATTTCTCTTTGTTAATCAGAGTTCTCTTTTCTGCGGCAACATATCAGGGAAGGTAACTGAACATGCCAGTACAAGTTCCCCAGATGTCAAGTCATATGCATGGTATCTAGAATTGAATGATTGCTCAGAAATAATAAAGAAATTATCTCTATACACTGTTGTTGGAGGCAGAGAAAAGGAAACCCTTCAGCAGCTGCCAACATTTATTTAGTACAAATGCTGAAACCAGGCAATCAGTCTACAGCTGTCGTTCTGAGGTGGCTAGGAGATCTTCTGTAAGGGGCCATCAGCTTACTAACTGTCTTTTTAAAAAATGGAAGAGCTAGTAACTGGTATCAAACGCCCAAGTTGTCCCTTGGAGCAGAACACGTGCAGTAGGACAGCCAAGAGCACCTGCACAGTTCATGGCTGCTGAAGGAGGCAGAAATAAGTGGAAGAGACATTTTATATCAGGTGAAGAGTTGCCATCAGTTGGTGTTTTCCTTCTGTAAATCCTAAAATGTGTGATAGTATTTTAAGTGTGTTATCCCTTAAAAGGAGTAAGCCAATGCAGAAAATACCTACAATATCCATAGCTCCTCATTTGAAACTCAGGATTTGAAACACGGGTTAGTGTATGCTTGAGAGCAGTTCAGGATAATTTGTGCCTGTGCCTTGTGTGTAATAAAATGTGTTTGTTCACACAGAGAGCAGTTGAAGACGAGAAGAGAAGTTTTTGTGACAGGGTATTGAAGAGGTTGTGTATTGTTGAACTGTATTTGGAACAGGAAGCTTACAGAACCTGCTGCCTTTCTTCCAGTTTGCATAATCTAAAGAAAGCTGAACAAATGGGCCTGCGCCTGCCTCCCTTGAAGGGACCTTTGCTTTGCAAATCTATTAGGAAAGATGAGTATTGCAATTAGAAAGACACAAAATGACTACTTTTTCCCATTTGCACTCTTGCTTTTTCTTGATTTTTTCCCTTCTGTGTGTGTGCCTAGCTTTCAAGCAAGGGTGGTCATGAGGATTAAGTATTTTGTCATGATATTGTGAGCTAGGCAGGAACTCCTTGAGTCCTTCTGCAGGTCCTGAAAGGCCTGATTGCTTTTCTTTTTGCACGTAAGCTTGAAACTTAGCAGCTCTTCAAAGCCTTTAGGCTTTTTCCTCAGCATATGTTTATACCAGCAGAGTATCACTAAGTATTACTTCATTATATTCATGCCCCCTAATCAACACTGTCTCTGGAGGTAAGACAGATGGAATTTGTTTGCTTATGAATTATGCAAAATTATAATTTATCGAGTTCCTGCATTTTAATGGACAGATGAGCCAATGTCTTTCATGGGTGAGCTGGGTACTACACGGTGTGTAGATGGACTACAATTGCTTCAATTTGCTAACTGTGCTTTCAACTACACCTATTCTTCATTGTGGCTTTCAGCTGGAAAATCTCCCATCTAGAATCAGACTTGGAATCAGGTTTGAAACAAAAAAAACCTCAAAC